TTGTTGGTTGCACTTCTGACGGCATCTGCATTTTATATCGACAAATGTTTGTGCAGGTATTCCTTCTCTGATATAAGGTGCCTCACTGTCCAACGGTTATGCGGGATGAACGATCAGTTCAGGATAATTAATTTTTCTTTCCGTCTGCACAGTCATTCGTTTTCCGGAGAACATGTTAAAAATTTGGCGATTAAGTCCTTCCAGTTTAGATTTTACAGGACCTTACCTGCGACGTGAGGGCGTACGTTGGCGCGGTTATGGGGGATGAACGGTCGGTTCCGGATAATTAATTTTTTTTCTCCTTTTGCACAATCATTTGTTATCATTTTCCGGAGAACATGTGGGATGAACGGTCGGTTCCGGATAATTAATTTTTTTCTCCGTGTGCATAGTCATTCGTTATCATCTTCCGGAGAACATATTAAACATTTGGCGATTAGGACCGTATGGTTTGTGTGGTACGTTTGAGGGTTGCTGGAATGCATCGTTTCTTTATAGGGGTACACATTTTAGCGAAGGGGGCTGGGGGAATTGAATAAAAAATCACCATACGTTCTTTTTTTTGTTTCATATGCCTTAGAATTACAAATTAAATGTTGTAAACTCAAAAATGTTAATTTTTTTTAAATCGTTGCAGGAACGTTCCATTCTCTAAGTAGCTTAAATGTGCGCAATTTTTTACGGCGAAACAACATTTTTATAAGTCTGTGGAAGCTGAATACAAACTATCAATTTAACGTTTTCGAATAGTTTAGATTTCTATACAGATTATCTAGACTTCTATGATATATGTATTGAAAATATAGGCGTGAAAAAGATTTGCATATATATTCACGGGATATTTTTATTATGCATATCATAGGCAATGTAAGTTTTCTATACTTATGTCCTAATTTGTACACCCGCTATAAGTATATTATACTTCATATGATGCCTAGTAATACATCATAATTTACACAGTGGTAAAAAATCACGACGTATGGTCTCCAGCCAAAGAGGAAGTAAATAAAAAATCAGAATATGGACGAAATTAAGTTTTATCAAGTTGGAATTTAGATTCAAGCATTAAGTATGTATGAAAAATGTTACGTTACATGAGGTGTCTTTTTATTTTTCTAAACGTATTTTCAACGATGTTGATTAACCTTTGGTAGATGTCACTAGAGTTATTATATATCTTGTATGCGTTAAAAAATAAGTAGATATTTGTAGATCAATAGTGGATATATCATTTTCATCTACAATATACACAGATATTTATATATATCGGTTAGATATTTTTTTAGGTGGATGACAGACGATATACATTTGGCATACCTATGACCCTAATTTAAACAATTAATTTACGTATATTCCACTTCATGGGTTGCCTGGGTCAGGGTAACCTAGGCCAACGACTCTGCCCCACAACGTTGCGTGCGACATTGCATCAACGGCTACTAATACTGGAATAAATATTTACAATGAATATAATGTAAGATACTAAATACACTTTGATCATTCTGTTACCTAGGAACCTGAACTGGGGACAGTAGAACACAGTTGCAGTAGTAACAGTGCCGTACTGGACGGCGAAGAAGTCGCTGGAGATGGTACTTTTATCGATGCCAGTTATCAGTGCATCCGGTTTCACCCTTTCCAACAAACGTCATGGCATGTCCTTTGCGACCACAATCTGAAGGAGTTGCCGGTGCCACATTACAGGGTCGATGCCGATAAAGGTTTCAACTTCAGCAACTCGGATGACGCATTCGTGTGTCAGAAGAAAAATCATTTTCAAGTAAGATTTGTCATATATTCGCTAATGATTTTAACCCTTTGCACACGAGGCCCTTTTCGCCCAGAAGAACCAACAACTCGAGACGATTTTTCACATACTTGGGGAATTTCATCCAGTTAAGGTGAAGTGAAACACGTCGAGGAACTTGATCGACGTCGATAAAGAAGATTTTTNAAAATCGCGCACATTTAAATGAAATATCTTTAAATAATATTCATAAAATTCATGCACTTTTAGTATATAAGGTTGTACTAAAATTATGACTTTAGTATCTTAAAAGTGAATCGGTGTACATTTAATGTACATTTGTAAATAAAAAGTTGATTTCATAACATATTGTTACCATTTTTTAAATGACGTAATTTTACAATCACTCACGAGTCTTTTTTTTTTAATAAGTTTACAATATGATGCAATAAGTATCTTTAGCACCAATTGAGAAGTACCGGAGCGGTCTTCATAAGTCCGAAAAGTATTTATTCCTTCATAGACTTTGATAGCATCGTAGTTAGCGTTCCTGCTTCCTACCCGGGCTCAAATCCCGAAAATGGAAAAGAAATTTGTGTAAAAAGCAGCAGGATTAGTCTGCATAGCTGTACTGAACAAGTTCTGAAACAGACTCTGCTCAAAATATGTTATAAATTTTATTTTGTATTACAAATACATATGAATATCTGTAGACGTGGATTAATCATCTATTGTAGATATCTACGATATATATGTCACGTACCATATTCGGACATCCAACCTTTCATTGTATCTAATATAGAGTTCATTGATGTCTATAAATATCTTACATACGTTCAATAAACATTTATATACGATTAATTTACGGATATTCCACGTTTCGCGGTGCCTGGGGTCACTATAGTAATTGTAACCAAATTATTTTTTTCCGTGTACGTTCAGATGGAACGTGTCGTATGAAAGCACAGTTCACGACAGTGGTTCACGCCCCGTGAGAACCCGGCATTAGAGAATTCGACACTGTCTCCATACGTGAACGGAGGGCGATAATAAGAAAACGAAAGTGAATAAGTGGCCGGAGGGGAAGTACGGAGTAAGAGGGCAAGGGAAAGAGAATTTGTTTTCCTTGTTCTCGTTTGTTTCATCGCTTCCTTAAATTCCAACCACTACAACATGTCGACCGTAATAAAATAGTTGATTAGTTTGAGCACTAGTCCCAAATAAAAAGTTGCGAGAACAGATTAGACGGGACAGAAAAATGCTGGATGAAAGTTAAAGTCTGCTCAGGAAACGGAATAGAGTAGGAAAAATTGATTGAAATGTTCCGCTTATTGTCGAATACTTCCTGCAGTATTCTGTAATATGTCTTTACATTTACGGAGAAGAAAGCGGTATTGAGTTAGTGGGTCTTTCTTGAAAGAGTTGTAAAGTATAAGAAGCTTCTCTCTGGTAATGTCATTACTGGAATGTGCATAAACGACACTTTACCCATAGCAATATCAATGTTTTCTAAACGTAGCGTGTCTCATTGTCCCAGTTTTTATGTGGGCGGTACTTGGGGTATTAAACTTTCGCCGACGCCGTCCAATTTTACAAGAAATTGCCAATCGTACAATGTAAGCATGGCATCCGATATATATACACAGGATATAACAAATGGTGGTTACCGTTTATACAGCGCTATCCTTGTTGAAAAAGGAGTCGAAATGTCCTGTACTATTTTTTCCTACAGTGCATAATTTTTCTGCAGTAATTAATTGAAGCACAGCCAATCAACCGCGTTCTCCAACGGAAAGCATAGCAGAGAGGACGCCTGTAAGGCTGCTACGCCGAATGCAGACGAATGCAGCCGGATGCAGCCTTACAGGAATTCTCTCCTCTATGCGTTCCTTTGGGGCATGCGATTGATTGGCTGTGCTTCAGTTAGTTATTACAGAAAAATTATGCACTGTAGGAGAAAATAGTACAGGCATTTCGACTCCTTTTTCAACAAAGATACGCCGAATGACAGACGAATGCAGCCGAATGCAGACTTACAGGAATCCTCTCTTCCATGCGTTCCGTTGAGAAACGCGATTGATTGGCTGTGCTTTAATTAGTTATTACAGAAAAATTATGCACTGTATGAAAAAATAATACAGTAGTAGTTATAGTAATAGGCGTTTCATGAAGGGCGATTATAATTATCCGTCGTACCGAAAGGTTAAATGACGATAAATAGTTCATAGAATATGACGGTAATGAGTATCAAGTAGGGTAAAGTACGGATAGATGCCTACGTTTTCAACGTATACTTCTAAAGTCGTTATTTGCTTTCGTTTGCAAACAAGTTCATGTTCATATCATACCGTAGTATTTTATTTTTATTATATTCTTCAATTATTTGCCTAGGATCAATAGTTATTATAATAGAACAAAAATATGAAAGGTCTCGATTTGGGCATCTATCCCACTCGAGGAGGATAGATGCCCTAAGGAAGAATAAATGAAATCATAATCAATTTTTTTGAAAAATCGTATTTTTAGTCTTAGCAAAGTTAACAAAAACAGTTTTCATGTAAAAACTTATAAAAATTAACAAAAATAGTTTTTAATGGTTAAAGTAGGTACAAGCGTCCCTCAATTTACGCGGAGTATCGATTTAACGTACATTCGTTTTACGCAAATAAAAATCGCGTACGCATTGTTTGCAAACTTTTTAGATGAGTTTTTAATTTTATGATCGTTTACATAAGTTTATTTTTAAACAAATTTAATCGAGAGATGGCAAGTATCGGTGGTGCTGACGGTGAAGCGTTGTAGCGATATTCTTGAGTTCGAGAAATATTTAAATAATATTCTAAAAAATTTTTTAAATCAATAGAAAACTCCGGGAACATCATGTACAATATACCTGCTACTTTTCCATGAGTTCTGGGTTCGATACCAGGATAATTGCAAAAAGATTTTTTTCAGCGTTTAAGGTAGGGCTGTCTCTAAAAACCTCCTGGAACGTGCCCGGAACATATGTCAAATTTGTTTTGTTTGTAAATAAAAACGTTTAATATCAAGTACCGAGCAACACAAATTTCTAACATATATTATAAATTTATTATACATGTATGCTAAATTTATAATATAGGTTATACATTTTATTTGAAAATATGTTATAAAATTAGTATACCATATCTGAATAAAACTTCCAACAAGTATGTTATACAATCATAATATTTTTTTTAACTGTGTATACATGGTTGGATTTCTTACATTTCAGGTATTTTGCCGACACTCTCGCCCACAATGAGAATGGCGGCATTACCAATCCAGGAGGCCGAGTGGAGTCGACGACGAATCAGCATCCTCCATCACGGTTGCCTTCACCGATCGCCAACAATCAGCCCTCCTCCGTTGCTTGCACCCCTGCAACTCCTGCCGTGCCTTCCGGAAACACCTACAAAGATCCTCAGTCATACGTTCATCCGTAAGTCTTCATTAATGAAGAAATAATATTCAATTAAGGTGAAACGAAACACGTCGAGGAACATGATAGACGTCGGTAAAACAGATCTTTCCAAATACCTATGTTGCCAACGTTGGTTTTTATATTAACAGCTGTGTCGAATTATATTGGGGGGTATTGTACTAGATGGCAGACTCCACCTGTCGTTCTCAAACGATAAGTACAAAGAAATGGAAGTAAAACTCTAGAAATCTTTTGGATTCGTGGTTTCTGAGGCTCTAATTGACTGCAGAGGGACACCCTGCGCCATCTGTGATTTCCGTGTCAACTAAACTTTCACTCCGAGACCTCGAATTCCCACTTGTATTTTTATCTTGTATTTTTCGAATTTTGTATTTTTCCTGTACGGCAATCTCTCGTTAGCCTTCACCATCGCTTCTGCATCTGTTATCGGTATTGACGCGTGAACAGCTGGCATAATTCAACAAGTCATTCGTCAAATTAATGTTATAATAAATTCAAATTTTGTTCCGTTCGAGACAAGTCTCACTTCATCCGAATACGTTTCTTCTTCATGTGAGCAGTTGAATGAAGATCCCATTTTGCAATTCTGTTTACAAAGACACTCGGGATTCATGCAACAACTGCCCGACAAACTAGCCGGGCAGAACACTCTTGGCCCCCTGCATGTAGACGCCTAGGTTCTAAATTTTGAATGCTCATTGGTTGTCCAAATACGCGTTGAAGTCTAGGGCCCGCCCAAGAAGCCAAGAGCTACTTTAGTTGCTTTTTTCCCGAAAAAACCTGAAAAGGTGGAGCGCACATGGCCTCACTGTAGGTTGTCCCTATCGCCAAAAATTCGGTAATGGCCCGCAACGACGCGATGCTAAAGAATGTCTCTTAAGTGTTCGGAGAATGAAGACAATTCGATGGTTAGAGAGTACAGTCCGAAATGATAGAAGGGGTTTTCAGGAGAAAGGTTTTGAGCGCAATCAATTTTCCTGAGCACATTGCTTCGACGAATACTCCTCGCGAAGCAACAAGGTTGAATTTAATTTATCATATATGCACGTACGCAACAAATAGTAAACGAAGGAATTGAAAACACACGTTCTTAGTCGTTTTAATTCGATACCAATATGTTTGTTAATAGAAATTTTGCGTATAATTGTAGACATGCCTTACCGGAGAGTCCACCGGACAGTGGAAGTGAACCGCCCTACTCACCACCCGGCCATCACGATTCCCAAAATGTACACTCCCCACGTAAGTAAATTTAATAATTGGCAGCATCCAAGATTATAGCAATACTCCCGAATGACAATTACACTCGGGGGAGGAAGCCATGGACTTTGACATAGCGCAGGGACTGTAAAAAGGTCGTGAATAAACGAGTTAACATTTGATTAAACTAAATACCTAACATAGCAAGACTGCGGCTTAAAGGGAACAACGCCCAACATCAGTAAACGGAACAACGACAACAATAATTACATTCATGTCATGCTTCTTTACGACAATGAAATAAAAATTAACGGAAGTGTTACTCTACAGTTGAGAAAGAATGTGGCGCTACGAAATCTCATTGGACTTTAAAGGTTTTAGACGTATAAAACCCTCAATTTTTTAAATCTATGTCCATGTTTCTTATTGAAACCATTTGATGACGTAAATAATTGCTTCTCGATGTAAATTAAGCAAATTGAAATATAGAGTAAATTAAAATTCGTGTCATTTGGTAGATTAAAAATTCACTCATAAATCTTTATAGTCAAACTTTCCATAACAAAGTGATCGTTAGACCGATTTTTAATTAGTTCCTTCGATAAATGGAATTCTGTATCATTATTGAACTCAATGCACATTTCAGATCAAAAAGCAGCGCTTCAAGAAATGCTATTACACCATCCAGGAAGTACGCCGAACTATTCGTCAGGTTTATTACCACCTTCTCCCAGAGCATTGGCACCGTCGACGGATCCAATCTTGCTAACGCATGTTTTGACACCACTACTAACTCCAAGTACTCCTACACTACTTTCGCAACAGCAACTAGGAGCTCCTTTAGTGCCATTGCCACATGAACACAATACTGGGGGCATCACTACTCTCTACTCGTCTCTTCAATCTGCCCCAAAAAAGAGAAAACTCAGTCAAGATGGACTTGTCCACGTGAAACAAGTAAGTTATTTCGATTTTTAAACTTTTCGACCATGAAGTTTCTATTACTTGTTTACACGTTCGACAAAACCAAATATGAACATTAGCAAGTATGATTACGTCAAAATTTCAAAAGATGAAAACATACTTCACCACTTACGTTCACCGGACTCCTCTAAACATGAATTTATTACTGTATTGTGTGTATTATTAATTCCCCATCAGAGGTGGTTTACCCCCTAAGCAATACTGTGAAAGATTTTGAGTATGTTTATCTTTGCTCGTGTCTTGGAATTTTTGTTTTTGAATGCACAATTGCAAAAATTCCGATTTTGAACTGTATGAAAGTAATAGTTTTCGTGGGGGTGGTTCTTCCCCTGGACAGTGTGTTCCTTACGAATAGTAAAGGGTAATGATATACTCCATCATTTGCGTTCACAATATTTTGTTTATGTCCTCTGAACAAGAATTTTTCTCCATATTGTGTGTATTATGAATTCCCCGTCGAGGATGACTTACCTCCACAGCAGCACTACCAGGAGGCCGCGGGATTCCTCGAGCGGACACAAGAGCGACTTTCCTTTGTTGCGTCGTGTTCCCTAATTTTCTGTTCCCTGATTTTCTGTCGCGCCATTTTGAGTAGAAGCGCGCAATTCGAGATTCTGATTGTCTGGCCGCAAAAGATTAGTTTCCTTTGTCTCGCGGAGACTTGTGAATGGTTTTGGTCTCCGTCGAGACAGTTTTTTCGAGTGTCATACATTTGTTGGCTGCTCTCGCGAAGGTTTGTGAAGGGTTTTGATCTTCGGCAAGAGAATTTTTCTAACTCAATAATTTAGTCTTTCTGTCGCGGCCAGTGTTCGAGTCATAGGATTGTCTAATTGAGCCACTCAGTGCACACATTGATTAACTCCATAAAACAAAAAGTTGAGAAATGCGATGAAGTAATGTAGAGTCTTTTTTAAAATTCCTATTATAATATAACTTCAAATGTATAAT